CTATACAAACCTGTTATGACTTCAGTACCTCGTATCAGTTCATCGATTGCAAACATTTCATCCCTTCAGAAGACACACCTGAAAAGATGGTTTAATTTGATGCTTTTGAAGTTGTACACAGGGAAATTGCCTCATATTCAGAACGGATTACTAAATGCTATGCTCCAGATTGCAGAGAAACATGTAAAAGCTTTCAGCAAGAAAAATGAGAAGTGATGTTTATACCTTCAGGGTAAAACACCAACGTGTTTATACAATTCACAAGTGCAAACTATTTTTAATGCCAGAGGAATTAACTCTTTTCTCACGAGTAGTTTATTTTACTGGTATTATCACTCCTATGAGCAGCACTTTATTTGGCAGGGTTCAAATCATTTCTCATCCATTCCGTTCACGTAGGTTCATGTGGAGTGTAATCGGAGGTGATTTCACACCCGCTTTTCCCTCTTACGAAGTGAGTGTGTAAAGAATTACCACGGTTGGCTACGCCTCAGCATACTAAATGGAAGATAGAATATCCTAAGATGAAATTCTAAATTCTATCCTGATAAATATAATTCTCCAAATGCCTCAGAATGGTCGGAAGTGAGTGTCTTAGGCTTCAAAATGGTCACTCCTTGTGAACGCTTTTCGAAATACTCTCAAATGACCTTGCGTCACAAACATTCTCCGTTGTGGACAATCTGCACATCCTATACTCAGAGTGTCTAACCTCATCTGAAGTACAAATAAATTGAGTAATCAGTCATCGGCTCCCAAAGGTTTGCCGAGGAGGCGTACGAAGCATGTTACTGGTCACTGTCTTATCTAGACCAACACTGTAACCCTGCAGGATGCGCTTGGCTGCGCATAGATTAGAAGTGTAACATCGAAAAATAGTGCTCACTCTGGACTGGGCGGCCGAGTAGTACAGAAGCCCACAACGCAAACAGCCATGAAATACTCCATTATTATCATTGACTACTCTTCCGTGAACACGAACGATCACTCTCTTATACTAATTCTCGCATTTCCACTCCTGTCTCACTTTCTTCTTAATTTTCATATCCCTTGTTTTCTTCTATCTACCGTATTCGCTGTTATGCCAGTAATGAAAGTCTTGGCCATGTTCCTTCTAGTTCTTCTTCAACTGGCATATAAGTCTAACTGGACTTGCTACCGCCAACTAGTGCCCTGGTTCTTTCCGGATGCCCATTCAAAGTAGCTACCATCAACGTGCGGACCCCGATTCGCGTAAGATAAGACGCGGATTTGGCTCATACGATGGGTTCCCTAGCAATCCATGTGCGTTGCACTCCAGGGAATAGCATTCGAGACTCCAATTTCATTTTTCGGTTGATGCCCCTATCTAATCCGTCCGTGTAGTTTTACTCATACTTTTATGAGGACTCTGAGGCTTCGGCTTCCGGTCTTGCTGGCAATGAAATTGCTCTCAGTGAAAGAGCTGAAACAACGCTGCTAGACTGGATCCAAGTCAACAGTTCTTCATATTTAGTGAGACTCACAGCAGTCTCTCACACAGAAGAAACCTGTTTGCTGTTTAGGGGTTTGTGTCCACCGGGTACCGTCCAGATGCAATCAGAGATGTCCTCTTCTAGAAGCCCCATGACTTCCCACTTCTGATATTTGAATGTCAGAATCGGTCCCTAGTCATCGGACAAGACGAATTCAAGAGGCCATTTTGGGCTAGATTTCCTTCTTCTGTCAATAGGGGAATGGTATTTGACCCTTTGTTCAGACCATTGCCTGTTCGTTGCCAGTACCAACTTCATATGTTTTTATCACCAGTAAGCCACTTGGTGTTCGCAATCTTCCAGCCAACAGTGAACTAAGATCAACCACACCAATATAAGCAACAAATAGTAGAGTTGCATGCGCAAAAACTGCTCGTACTGGTGCACCTTCCTTGATTCAGACCAAGTATTAGTTTATACAAAGTTTTCGATGTATTTTGGTGAGTGCAATCTAAACGCTTGCTGCAACAACTTTTAAATTGTGATTGGCTTTTCGATCCACCTCAACTACCCATTTGCAAAAAATGCGCTGGCTGAAAGTTAGCTGTTATCCCACTTGACAATATCAATCAGCACTGGTTGCTTATCAAGAATATTTTGCATTCCGCTGGTCTGGTAGGTTGTGACCTGTCTCATCGTGCCGTAGACCTTAGATTTCTACTGAATCTCTGTGCCTTCTCAATGCATCCCAGTCGATTCAAGCTGGAAGTGAGTACAGTGAACCATGACTCGTAATGTAAGGCGAATTTAACGTGAGTCTTCCTAGGGAACAGGAAATCTGGTGATCACAATATGCAGCAGAGATGGAACGTCCTGCCACTGTGGGAAATTCTCGTAAGCTGTTCTGTTTCAGTCGACGGAGTCAGTAGGTATGAGTGGAACAATCCGTGAAGCTGATAGTTTGAGGGTTTACAGTCAACAGTGGCACTTTCGGACAAAAGTTAGTTAGTGCCCAGTGTCAACCTTCTCCATATCTCTTCTGGCACATATTCAGTGCTGCGTTTCGACTGATCCGTTTACGGAGGAGGAGATCTGAAAGGAAATCCAGACCTTTGGACATCACAAGGCGATGGATCACGATGGCTTTCCCTAGACCTTTTTAAAGATGATAGGGTGTAGCTCGTTCGAATTCTCCAAGTTCTACTCTCAAAAGTTTGGAATTCAGAGCAGGTTCCTTCTTTGTGTGGGAAGTGATTGTTATCCTCATAGGTAGGAAACGCTTGTGCAATAACTACTCTAACTACGAAGATGTATGCTTCATCCCAATAGCATCGAGGCTACTTTCATCCTTATAATTTGCACTAAAGACATGAAAGCAGACTCGTGAGGAGGAAGTTGGGTTTCATGCCGACCACACATGTATCAATCAGATATACACCCTCCGACAACTTCCAGAGCACTATCACACTTTGCAAAGGACAACAATCATCGTATTCCTGAACATTTGCTCAGCCTTCGACTCCGTCGTTAGGACTGTGCTACAGAATTATATTTTGAACAAAGGATTTTCTAAGAAATAATTGACAGTCCTCAAAGAATCACATCGTCGCACTTCCGTCCGTGTTAGGATCTACGGCCAGCTATCGCCTCTCTTTCGTCGTCTCCAGTAGAGCATGACTAGGCTGCCCTATATTCCCATTTCTCTTCAACCCTGTTATTGAGAATGTTCTACAAAATACCTTATCCGGTCTTCCAAACGATGGAGTTGGACTCCTCTCAGGTAACAGGGCTTTCGACTTGAAATATGCCGATGAAATTGCCTTACTTAGTCACAACACAAAGGCAGTGCAACATGCTGTGAACCACTTGGCGTTTGAGGTATCCAGATAATGCATGCAATTCGCACCCATCAAGCAAAGTGCTTTTCAAGATGGATAGGGGCCTATACATGAACTCATCCTTAAGGATGATCAGCTTGAGTTGATTAATAACTTCATGTACCTCAAAAGCTTAATAATAGATATATCTTGTGTTGGGGAGAAAATCAGTTCACAATTAGCGAGAGCCAAGGAGGCTTTCGCAAACCTACGACACGTGTGGCGTCGCCATGATATCCGGATGTACGTCGCCGTGGTTTGTATTGTTTTACTTGACGGTTGTCAGACTTGTCCACTTCGTGCTGCGGATGCTCGGCATCTTTCTGTGTTCAGAAACCGATACCTACGAAGCATTCCTTGAGTCTGGTGGGAATATCAAGTGCGTGGTGCTCTGTCGTGTGCCAGGCATGGAAAGCCGCCCCTCAACAAAGTGATGGCTCTACACTGTCTCCGATGGCTCGGTCCTGTTTTGAAAATGTCTGCCCATCAACTGCCTGTGCGTGCTCTATTCCCACGAGCTGAGCAAGGCTTGAAGAAATGAAGCGGAGGTCAGACCATTAAATGAAGTAGAGGTATGAGGAGGCCAGAATCAGCACTGGCTTCGGTTAGTGCTTCCTGTCTCCCCAGGTGGGCCTCATAGATGAGGATTGTTGTTCGTTAAAGAAGTGGAGGAACGTGGCTCAGAATAGAAGTCAGTGGCGCGAATATTGTATCGTGTGTCTAAGAAATACAAAAATATCATTGCGCCCTACTTTCCTCCTTCTACTTTTGTAATAGTTGTTGCTGCTTTGGCATGATGTCTTATGTTTAGCCGGTATTATATACAAATAAATAAAATAAATATTCTGTGGAAATGTAGGGGGAGGGTACCCTAACAAGCTCACTTCTAGTTATCCAAATCCAACTATTTTGTAGAGTTGATGTTCGGCTTTCTAGTAAAAATATATCACAGTAAACGTGCTACAAGGTGCTCACAGATTGCATACATCTTACTCTTTTGCATTCGTATGAGTTTTGCCTTTCTAACTGATAAGAGACTGTAGTTGAATACTTTTGCATGCTTCCTTATGTTCCCCTTTCTTTGTAAGCTTAACGTTCAATGAATCACATTCGAATTTCAATTCTACCTTGCTGATAAATGCAAAGAAATCAACAGGTGGATGATTTCTTCCCGATCCACTCCGGACACAACAAAGTAGAATAGAATTTGTGAAATCACAACACCACCCTCGGTGATCAGACACTCTCACTATAATAAAGGGTTTCGCGCGGTTAGTGATTTAGTCTTGATCTTAGAGTCGAAATGGGTATTATATAAAACACCGTCTTCAGTTGAAAGTCCGTCCAAATAATATTAGCAAGAAGAATGAACAATAGATCAGTGACGGTAAATGAACATAGCTTTACTGAATATATATGTTAATATATCAAAAAATGATGAAAAACAATCGCGTTTTACTCTATCGAACAATAAAAACACCACAAGGGAGAAGCTCAAAAATTGTGATGAAGCCTTCTCAACTGCAGACACATGACTAACAAATAAGATCAATCATCACTGGGGAATTTGGCTCACTTTCATTGGTTGATTTAGTCAATTAAAATATGTTAAACTAGATCTGAAACCTTAGGCTGAACACATCACCATCAGATTGCCACCGAACACAATATGATCAAAGCCAACTTGCAATGCGAATTTCACATCATCGCGTTTTGGTTTCTTCTTATTACGCATGTGTATCTGATTCGGAGTTGTGAACCTCCATGGACGCAATCGAATTGCAAACCACATTGGATTGAGCATTCTGGACTACCGCAAGATTTGAAAACAGCGTCCGAAATATCACTAAATGGTGTATCGAAGTTGGTGGAAGACAATCTATTCACCATAGGATCTCCGGGTTTCGGTTGCCTTAATGTAAGTCAATTACAACACATTTTATGCACACATATTTTACAGTAAGTATACATAGAAGCCGATAGTACAGTATTATTCGGATCACGAGGATAGGCTGGTGATTCGTTAACGCTTTGCCAAATCAAATTTTCATCACCCAGTTTGCAACGTCGAAATTTTCTATGTTTTCCCCTATTCAACATAAGAATTTTACGCATTGACTAACACAAACTAGATTTTATTCAGACTACGTGAAACAATCAAATTGTACGATTATGATCGCAAACTCGTCCTAAGTCAGAATCCTTCATTCCAAAACATTCACAAATTCGCCCTCAAATGAAGTTGACCAAGAAGCCAACCTCTTCAGGTCGTCTGTGCTGTATTTCGCGGAAAAAACTCTAAAGAGAAGCTTTCGTCTATGAGGGTTGTACAGTTTTTCGTAAAATAACTGCGAGAATAGAGGTCGTTCGAATTCACGGTGGATCACTTTTAATGTATCTTGTGGCTTTGATGCGACGCAGTTAACCAACAATCCTATTTGACTGCCGACCTGTTGCAATAAAATCTAATCAGATGATATATATGTACAATATTTTGGTACATTTCCAATATTCAGTGGAAATCTGATATTGTATCATGAATCAATAATGAGAACACTTTCATTTACTTTTGCTTGAAGTGATCAGTTCATTTGTATAGCCTCCGTAAAATTATGCTAATTACTTGTCACATATATATCACGAGGTACTAGAATGGATACCGTTCGCATTCCACTCTTTACTCCCACTCACCACCAACAAAATATTCGTGACAGAATGAGTCGTGTTGGACTTATGGTTGGGAACTGCTCAGCTACACTGGACCGTGGACGTTAAATGGTGTAACCGAGGTTTACGCCTGTTGTGGTGAGTGATCTATTTGATGTTAGTATTATACGCATTATTGTAGTGTAGAAAGTGGTCAGTGGTAATTCCTATATTAGAAATTTACATAGCGTGAATAATTACTTTTACCTATCCACCCCCTGCCTTCCTTTTCTAATCTATTTTCAGTCATTTTTCCATTCTTTGTTGAATTACCTTACATTATATTGTACCCATCCGACGCATGTACAGAACTCCACTTGTAATTGCACTTGTCAAACTCATTGCTCAATAAATTTGCTGTGAGTATTTCACAGATCAGACCATTTTATTTGTTTCATCAATTGTCATGGGAAAATGATGGCAAATACCTAGCATATACGAACAATACTTTCCGATTTGTTTAAAGATATGCTCACATGTGTCCTGTATCCTCAAATTTATTCAGATATTTACTCAAAGTCAATGCTTGTTCCAATCCAAAGAGTCATTTAACACGAATCAGAAACAAACAAATTGCCAATGGTGATTAAAACGTTCTTGAATGATTCGAATAAACTACAGCCAGTGCCAACACTCCGGTGGTAAGCTAGTTTAATCTCAATATTAACTTACTGGCTGATTACCCAAGTTATTTTAGCGATCAGCACAGCACGTGAAACTCAAAAATCCTTCAAGCTAACCTGGTTACCGTGGAGCTGTTGATTTCTAGTGAGTCTTTGAAGAGAACAAACTGAATAGTGTTCTTATCGGTTCATTTCTGCAAGCTAGATGTTTAGAATGCTTGAAAAGTACTTTATGCGAATCTAACCGAAGCATCAAACTCGGGCCTTGGTCTCGTTAGAGCTCATCAGTGGTGCATATCCTCCTTCAAGCCCAGGATTTGAACCTCAGCCTTTTCACCTCTAAGTCGTATGTGCTACCATTGCGCCACCCCGCTCCCATCCGAGATGATCCGAATCACCAAATCAAGCTTGTTCAGATGTCGTCCTCTATGACTGCCAGAAATACCCGACAGCTTCAAATGGAAACACGGTATCTGGTCAGTCAACTCCAAGCGAAAGCCCTCCAACAAATCAGGTCTTCTTCACAAGATGGGGCTAAAGTATCCACATTTTCAAAGCTGCTTTGCGTTAGGTGTATATATATACTTATAAATACATGTATACCACGCAACTGCTTGCGAGTAGAGTGTGGGATTGATGAATCTTTGTTTGATTGACTGTCTTTTTGACTCCACGTTCCAAGCAGAAAACTCTGGTCGTCCAACCGACCTGCACTCGGAAGCACCAGACTCGAGGTTCGCAGGTTAGTCGGATGATCTGAGGTTTGTGAGTGAAACGTGGAGTCCAAAGGACAGTCAATCAAACAAAAATGTTTCCATCTTTTTGGGCTTCTTGTTTTCAATTTTTTCATGTTATACCATACAAATGTGGGAAACAAAATTAATGATTTTTAGTACATCAGGTCTTCTTGTTCTAGTTCATCAAAGCAAAAAGATGACGCAAACTGCTAGACGCAAACATCTCTTTGAATCATCTTAATGGCGTACGTAAAACACGCGGATTTGTACTTGGATGGGGCACAGAGCAACACAAACCGAATATTGTTAACATTAATTCTGTTATATTCTTTTGAGTTTAAATTGCGTGAACTAAGTTGCATGATAGTTTTGACTGACTCTTGACAGAAAAAGGTTGATGAATGGTCGAATAAGAATAATTTATAAAGTCATGAAAACATAATTCACTGATGTGGTTTTTGCCATTGAAGCACAATTACTGATCCTGCCAGGAGCAGTTTCTTTAGTGGAAGTGTCGATTACATCTCTGCTAATCAGAAAGAACCAACAGCGGTACCTACATATTTATGAAAAGAAAGGTATCATCTGGTGGTTTATCAGCAATCTCGGAGTTAGTGCTCAACTCAGGAGAAGAAAGTTGCTGACCTTTTTAAAATAAGACATGACCTTGAAACCAAGACCACATAAGAGTGGCCACTCAAATGCCTAATTTGTGTTCACGAAGATGAGGAAATGCTTACCCACCACCACGCTCGTAAGTTAGCGGTTGACGAAGATGTGATAACGTATTTTGTAGATTTTTCTTTGTAAAGCTTCGTTTAAAATCATCATTCAGGCAAACGAACGCTTTCTCGGGTTTTAAATGCAAACACTGCTGTCACAACAAGGTTTAGTGGGTAAAGCGGCATCACATCCAACTTGAATAAAACATTCCAAGGGAAAATGGTCAAACTGCGAAAAGAATGTTTCTCTGAAAATTGCTACACGCCACTACGAACAAAGGTGAGGTGAACTGAGGTGCTCAAACTTTTGTCCGATCAAAAGCCAGTATTATATGCTCAATAAGGATAATCTTTTGTTGCGCTTGCGAAGAAACCAAAATTGAATTGTTCTTCCTGTTCTGTGGTTTATCCTAGATGCTCACAAAGACGTTTTCCATAGTGCAACATTCGTGAAGAAACTCATTCCAATGTCTTTAATTGGTGAAACTTATTACGTAATTTGATATGAACGGGGATAAATTTTGAACATCTGCGTATTATCTACTACACTATGGACGATGAAGGATGCCATGAGCTTAAACAATACATTTTCCTGGTTTGTCAAATTAGAACACCTTAAACGGAAAATTGATTATCGCCAAGTATTGCGTCAGATTATGCCTTCCGTGGGAGTGTCAATAGTATTGTCAGGGAAATATCCCCTTCTTATGTAATTCAATTAATCAGTAGCAAAACTGTGTAGATATGCAAAGATTCAAATACAACAATTGCCTTATAAAAGCTCTGCTGCCTTCTAATGGCACATTTTTAAATACTGGTGATTTAGGTTGATGCGCGTTTTTTGAACTGACGCGAAAACTTCACCATGTTGCAGCGCTTTATGTCGAGGAAATATCACTCAGAACTACATTTTCATTTGAATTTCCGCAACACCTGAATGCTAAACTTAAGTACGATGCAAAATGTTTTCAACTAAAGAATTTCACGTAACCACTAGCTTCGAAATCGTATTCCTACGGTTCTGAACGAAGTCATATTACGTTACATTTGATCGATAATCATTTCTCAGTCTTCAAAGCTGCGGCTAACGGTAAGATTATCATCCACAGAAATACGATAACTGAGGCAATCGAAAGTGCTACTTGTCAATAACTCACACTTTCTCCGGGTCTAACGAATGACAGTGATGGTAAAAATCTGAACTGCGATGGTCCTCCATTTGTTGGCGGTTACATAAAATTTCTAGGGCAGTTCATCTTTCACATTCCAACTTTGGACACGCCTGACACGTAGGATACAGCAATTCAGTTACCGCCACTTAAAAAATCGTTCGTTTTTCAGTAGAAAGACTCCGTTCAAAGTTTCAAAGAAATACAAATATTGTACGACTTTGGCGTTGTGTTTGTTATGCACCATCATTGCGGTTTAGCAAAGACACCAGTTCTGGGATTCGACCATGAATTTGAAGAGTGTGAATTGTGTGTTTCAACTGGAAAGCTATCTGGTGAACATCCTGTAGATTGATGGCCAAATAACCAAATCAGGGGATAGTAACAAGTAGTAACAAATAAAGCGCAGAGTTGTGCAACCGGGAGACATTTGCAAGCTGTTAATCAAAGGGTTCGAAAAACCAAGATTGTTTTGTATAGGAAAAGCTTGTAGATGACTCACGTTGTTTATTATATCACTACGGGAATCCACTAAAAATGGGGTCTTGTGCTCTAATCTGCCACTGTCTTCCATTGGACTGTCTCGCTCTTTCGTGGGTTTTTGCTGAAGTTGTTGCATATCGTATACATAAACAAAACAGAGTTATAATTATGTGGTCAGTATTTGATATTAGGATGTCACAGATGATTCTATGTATTGTGCTGGGTCAAAACGATTCGTCATATCAAGGATGCAACATTCGTTATCATTTTCATAAAGTAGCATTTCAAGACGTGAAAAATCTATCCAGCGATGGAAGAAACAAGCTTCAGTAAAACAATCAATCCATTTGACTGACCCATCACATCTTCAACCTAACTGATTGAACTAATAGACCGGTACAGAAATAAAGGAGTGGAAACAGGCATCAGTAGAAAAAAGGCGATACCAATCTGCACAAATTAGATGCACAACGTGTTTGTAAGTTTTTTTCGAAGAACGAGTCATTTAAACATCGAGGGAAATTTAGAACGAACATTTACAAATAATTCAGTGGCATGGGAACATAATATCGGTCACAGTAAATGGCTTCCCTTATATCCAACAGTATTAAAATTCGTACTTGTATTTCTGGTCCTCTTCTAACTCAAGTGCTTCCATTTGAGTAAAAAAGTATAGTTCGAAAAACCCCCTAACCTTTGAAATTCACTGAATATATAAATGAAATAAAAAGGGAGGAACTTTACGCATCAAGATTAGTGCGTAACTCTGTTAGTACTCTCTCTCTCTCTCTCTGTTTGATCGTAAATTTCGCACGACAGGGGGACACGTCGAAGTGAGAATATTTTTTGGGTGGGAGTAAAAAAAGAGAAATTGGTTAGCAAGGGGGGTGAATTATCCAAACAGATTTCGTAGGTAAAATTCCCGTACGATTCATTTTGTCTATCGATATTCTTAAAGATCAGATCCTCTCCGAGAACTATGTAAACAGGATTAGTTATCGATCCTTAGACCGCACAACAGAAATTAAAATTTATTTCACACTTTCCGGGAAAGTGTACAAAAGAAAAATGTAATGAATTCGGGAGAACACACTGATAGGCGGGATTGATCGTTGGATCTGGAATGGTTGGAGCTTACGAATGTTGAAAGACAAACTGTAAAGTTCTCGAACGTATAACAAATGTTGCAATGATTATCAGAATTTACCGTTTATTGTCAGTTATAGGTACCTGATGGAGTCAACTGTAGAAGGGAAACCTTTAATGATGGTCATTTTGTTTGTGGGTAAAAAATAGACATAAAAAGCAAGGGTATGCTCCAAACACTTTGATTGGTTCAAGGTGAGACCAACATGGATGGACACATGTTTGAAACGTTATCTGTGGGCTATGAAACATCAACAGGAAAGTTGGCAGGTATATCACCGACGTAGGTTGAAAATGATTACGGAGAAGGACAGGCACCCTGGAGCATCCGGAATAGAAGGTCACCTTTGTGGAGAACCGTATATTCAATCCGATGCAATCAATTGTTGTGGGTATCCAAAAAATTACAAACTAGTGGGGAACCGTATAGGGTGAACAGAATC